CAGCATCACTCTCTTTAGATCTGTAAGCACTCTCTGGTCCCTACCGTTCACATTCTCACCATCCAAACAGCATCACTCTCTTTAGATCTGTAAGCGCTCTCTCCTCCTTCTTCGTTTGGGGCGTTTCCTCTCTTTTATCTCCTATTCTGTTACAAAACCCTAATTTTGCTATCCCATTTATCATTTTCTGTACCTCATGGTCTATCATTTTATTATATACGTATTACCAAACTTAATCGTGTTATTGATGCCATAAAGATTTGTTGTTTTGATTATTTGATACCCCTGCATTTGTCTGTTACTGTTATCTTTAACCTGCAAAATTTTAAGCCAATAACTGTTAATGCTTTCAGGTAGTTTCTTGTTTGGCTTGTTTTATTATTTTATTTCGCTGCTGAATGCTGATGCCACCAGTGGCTACCGTATGATTTTATTTTGCTTATGCTGATGCAATAACGAGGAAGGCGGGATTGAAAGGAAAACAGGGATGAAAAAGTTTCACTAAAGGCAAATTCCAATTGATGTTATTTACTTGTTTTATGTGTGTTTCTTCCTTTCTACTAAAATCAATTTACAACTGTTGGGATTTTGAAACTATTTGATATGTGGAAAGGAAAGGTTAGTGTTATTGTTGATTGATTTAATGATGTTGTTGTGTTTGCTTACTATCGGGTGTTATTCTTATGGGCTTTGTATGTTTTTGATTTTGACTAAACTCGTGTGAACTTCTAATAGGAGTCTGCAAATAAAACCTTGAATACTTGAGTTCAGTCAGTCCATAAGCAGTTAAGACTGAAGGGCCATATTTTAGCATATTGTACGTTTTGTAGTTTGCTGACATTATGGAAAAGCAGAACTCTAACAACATGAGTGAAGCAAACTCCTTGGCTGTTGGAAAACAAGAGGGAAGTCTTGTTAATGTTGACTTAAAAGGTGAAGGAGAACTAATGAAGGAGATGCAATCTCTAAGCATTGTCAAGAATGTCTGTGGACTGGACAGTGACAATGGACATGGTGACATGGGTCAAATAATGGATGAAAGCAGGGTTCTGAAATCTACAGCTACAGAAGAGAGTTTAAACAATGGTATTGAAAACAAAGACCTAAGCAATGTGAATAATAGTAATGATTCAACTTTGAAAGCTTCATGTGAGAAGTTAGATGCCCATATTGAACATGATCAAAGGAAGCATAATGATGGAGATAGGGATTATAAAGATCAAGAAGAAACTGACAAGACTACAGATGGAGTTTTTGGGGAAGAACAGTTAGAGCCTATTTTTGATGGGACAGAGGTTCTTGAAATGGAATCTAACAGAGCTGAGGGATTTGCATGGCCTGAGAAGGCGGTGAAAATTAAGAATTTTGTCAAGCAGAAGAGTTTAGTTGCAGTCACCAGTTTACTTCATCATCTTTCTAGAAAAGGGTATGAGGTTGAGCATGATGCTCCTGTTGATGAAGATATAGGGGGTTCTAATATTGAAAGTGGTGAAGCAATAGCGGTTTCTCCAAAAACAACAGGGAAATCTGTTTGGAATCCCCTAAGCTACGTTATGCCACATGATAGTGATGCTGAAAACAAAGATGACCCAGGGGAGAATATCAGTAGAGAGTCACTGTTTCCTATTGCCATGAAAGGAAGAATTATAGTTTATACAAGGTTAGGGTGCCAAGATTGTAGAGACGTTAGGCTGTTTTTACACAGAAAAAGGCTTAGATATGTTGAGATTAACATTGATGTCTACCCTGGTAGAAAGGCAGAGCTAGAGAAATTCTCTGGCTCTTGTGCTATTCCTAAGGTCTTCTTTAATGAAATACTAATGGGAAACTTGAGCAAACTAAAGAGCTTAGATGAATCTGGCAAGCTTGCTGAGAAGATTGATTATCTTATTACTGAAGAACCATCATTTGAAGCTCCCTTGCCACCTCTTTCTGGTGAAGACGATGTCTCCAGTGGGGGGCCTATTGATGAGCTAGCTCTAATCGTTCAAAAAATGAAAAGCATTATAGTTGTTAAAGATCGGTTTTACAAAATGCATAGGTTCACAAACTGTTTTCTGGGTTCAGAAGCTGTGGACTTCCTATCAGAGGATCAGTACTTGGAAAGAGAAGAGGTCAGTCATCTTAATTTTATAATTTTCCCTGGAAAATTGAAGCTAACTTTTGGTGGAAATTTGTTTAAGCTTGGTCTCAAACTCTCAATAGAAAGAAGAGGATGGTTTTTGGAAGATTTGGTTTGATTATTCCAAATTTAAGATAGTTATCTCTGGTCACTTTTGTGATTATATCATTCATTAATTATCCAGCTCCTTTGTTCTTAATATTTAAACAGGCAGTTGAATTTGGGCGGAAGCTTGCTAGCAAACTCTTCTTTCGACATGTCCTTGAGTGAGTTCCTTGATTACACCTTGGAGTTGTGCTGTTTTGTTAGTCTAATTCTTTTGTCATCTTTATCTGTTTTTGCTCTTCATGATGCTTTGCAACTTTATAACAGTGAGAATCTATTTGAGGATGGCAATGGCTTATATCGGTTCTTGGACCATGATCCTATTGTGTCATCTCAATGTCACAATGTTCTGAGAGGTATAATCGAGTTGAAACCAAAGCCCATCTCAGAAATTTCATCAAGGATGCAATTTTTGTCATATGCAATCTTTGAAGCTTATGCATCAGAAGATGGAAAACATGTTGATTACAGAAGTATCCATGGAAGTGAGGAATTTGCAAGGTCTGAAACCTTTTATTTGATGACATCACTCAGTCTGATATTTTTGTAACTATATTTGATTATGATCTTAAAATACTAATTATCTCTAGAAAATCTTCTCTAGGTATTTAAGAATAGTCCAAGAACTCCAAAGAGTAGAAATGCAAGACATAAAAACAGAGGAGAAGCTCGCTTTCTTTATAAATTTATACAATATGATGGCTATCCATGCAACACTGATTTTGGGTCATCCTACTGGACCCCTGGAAAGAAGGAAGTTGCTTGGAGACTTCAAGTATGTTATTGGCGGGAGCACATACTCACTCTTAGCTATTCAAAATGGCATTTTGAGGTGCAATCAAAGACCGCCATACAATCTTTTGAAGCCATTTGGTGTAAATGATAAACGTTTACAGGTAAAACAATCATGCTATTAATAAGATCCAGGCAAATGATCGTATCATACATGACTATTCCTCCAATCTATAGTTGGTAGGCTGGGATCTTTATCAATCTTGGTCAGGATTATGTGGGGTTGAGTTGAAAATGAAATATTCCCCATTTGGCATTTTCTTATTCTTCTAGACTGTCATTTGATGAAGTTCATTCCAACTAATGCCACTTACATCCTTTGACAGATTGCCATCCCTTATCCAGAGCCTCTAATTCACTTTGCCCTGGTTTGTGGTACCCGATCTGGGCCTGCTCTTCGATGCTACTCTCCTAGAAATATTGATAAAGAACTGACGGAAGCAGCTCGGAATTTCTTAAGAAATGGAGGACTTATTGTTGATGGAAAAGCAAAAGTTGCGTATGTCAGTAAGATCCTCAAATGGTAAGATAATAAAAGCTTGTTTATAATATTTGCAAGTCTTCAGCCTCACTGGTATAGAAAATAAAACATGGACATACAGCATATTTTTAAAGAAAGGAAAAACTGGTATGGTGGTCAACTTACTACTTGGCATTGGATGAGAGCAGTGGAGCACCCCAAAAAGATAAGGATTGAAAATATGGAAGAGCTCCTTAATAATACATTTTTAGTGGAGACAAGGTGTAGAATTATACAGTGGCACATGTTCAGCCACACACACCATACTTTAGCAAAACATTACTTCTCCTTTTAGAGGGAGAAGTTCAAGGTTCAAGTGTCCCTTCTTCCCATAGCTGCTTAAAATACCCAGGAACAAAACCCTTCCTTTAGGATATCCTCATTACAATGAGTAAAAGGTGCATGATGAAAGTCCATCTTGCTTCTTGGTTGTCAATAGATTTATAAATTTCTGTCATAAGAGTGTAGTTAGTCTGTTGGTAACTTGTGTTGCTTGTTATTTATCTTTTCTTGATGCACAGGTATAGTGTGGATTTTGGCAATAATGAGGCAGAGTTATTGCAGCATGTCTCCAATTACTTGGAACCAAGTGATTCTGAAGTCTTGCTGCAGTTACTAGATAAAGCTCAGTTGAAGGTGATATATCAGCCTTATGATTGGGGTTTGAACTGTTAGGGTTAGATTTTAGCTATTTTCTGTGCCATATAAATGCTCATGATGATTCCATAGGTAAAAAATTTTGAATGAGAATATTTGTTTTATCATGTTGTAAAACTGGATATATACGGCATACAACACAAATGAACAGATATTTACTGAAATATCAAATGATCAAAAGTTTTTTTCATTTTCTTAAACATTACTTTTACATGTCTTACTAGTTATGCTAAGCAAAATAAAGTATGTTTTGGTTTATAAGTTACTAGCATAATTAATTGTTTGTATAATTTATCATTTTGTATTGTTGCAAAATGAAAATTTTTATACAGGCTCAAACTGCATCCATGGTCCAATCTATAAGTATGCTAGGCTAAGATTGTCTTGATCATAGGCTAACTTTAGTTTGGGTCCCTAAGCCTTGATCATGGTAAATGAAGTGGACCTCTAGAGTCTTTGACTTTGAGCATGTTTTTTATTGAATGCCTATGCTTTATTTGCACCATTAGGGTAGGATCATTTACTTTTGCGTTTAAGATAGACCTAAACTTGATGGTTGGAAGGTAAACATATGCTCTCCTCTCAACCTGGTCAATGGTTTGAAACTTGGTAGCCAAATAATTGATAATAAATTAGGGTGGCTAGAATGAACAAACAGTTATATTACCCCCCTCCTTTTTCTTGTACATTAAGAGTTTGCTATGTGACAGTGCAGGATTTTAAACCCTTGATTTTGACTTAAATCAAAAATTTTAAATTAGTGGAAATTAATATGACCAACCAAACTATTGTTGTTATTGTAATACTCTTTATTAATTAGTCCATTCTTATAAATACCTATGAAATATAAACAATATAAATATTGTTGGGTATAACTCATCACCAATGCTTATTATTATTATTATTAAATAAATTTTCAGTCGGCACTCAAATTACGCTAAAATCTACTATCAAGTTACTCCTGGGCTCCCATCAAAAAAATAGTTACTCGAGCTCGATGGCTAGATAAAAAAAAATGACGTAGGAGTTGATACCAAAACATTGATTTTGATAATATTTAAAATCTTATTATAATAAATTTAATTGCTTAAAATATCACTTAATAAAACTTAATATAAATACTTTGATTGAAACTTATGGATACAACAAAAGAAACATGGTTATTTATAGGTAAAATTCAACCAAAGTAATAAATAAAAAGCAAAACCCCGTTGACAGTTAGCCATTTTCGTAGATTTGGGTGGTCATTTTTGTTGACTTGTGTGGCCATTTGGACAAAATTGCACCGGCCTATTGTAGGCTGCAGTGTACTTTGATTTTTGCCGATGCAGTTGAGAGTTAGCCATTTTCGTAGATTCGGGTGGCCATTTTTGTTGACTCGTGTGGTCATTTTGACATAATTGCACCGGCTTATTGTAGGCTGCAGTGTAGTCTGATTTTTGCTGACTTTGCTCTGCAATTCTAGCGTGTTTTCATGGTGCTCTTGGTGCACAAAGTTACCTTAAAGCATTCATTCAAGTTAGGTTCATGTATTAAAATTTTTGTAATACCAAATATTTAACTTTTAATATATCAAATGTTAAATTTTTTTTTAATATATAAAAAAAATAAAAAAAATTTACTCAAGCCTCAGTTTCAATCTAAGCAAAAAGCGTGC